GAACCCAGACTATTAATTAGAGATAACAGTTCATTATCATTTGTTCCTGATTTTAATTTTTCACCATGTAGATGGTATGATGAATCATCATAGTTTAAATAAGATGCTAACTGATTTGTATTGATACATAATGCTAACTGATTTGTATTGATATATAATGCTAACTGGTTTTTGATAATGTCAACAACTTTGTTTTCCTTTAGTGGAACATTAGATTCAAGTTTTTATCTGTTGTTTGCATCTTTTAATATAATTACTTCAGTTTTTAACTGTTACATTACAAATACCAGACTTATCTATATCTGAAGTGTTCTTATATCTAAAGTGTTCTTATATCTGAAGTGTTCTTAGAAACAGTAGGGAAGAATAGTTTAGACTGAGTTGGTTTTTGTTTGTAGGTGGAAAACTAGACTTAAAATCTTTTTTTTATATATTAAGTAAACTTGTATCACTCATAACAACAGCTGGTCATTTTTTGGGAAGATCTTTAACCAGTACCCCAAAATAATTTGGCTTAAAATAATAATATAAAATACTTTTGTTTTTTGTTTTATCTAAATTGCACCACAAAATATTTATCAGACAATTAAATTTTTGGATGCGAGGCTTTATAAGTTATTTAAAAAACTATGAAACTTTTTAAAATCAATTTCAAGATAGATAGATTCTATAGGTTGCTTTATAATATTAGATAATGCTATCAGGCAAATGAATGATAAAAATGTTTTATCAAAGCAATTTAAATACGCTTCTTATATATATATATATATATATATATATATATATATATATATATATATATATATATATATATATATATATATATATATATATATATATATATATATATATATATATATATATATATATATATATATATATATATATATATATATATATATATATATATATATATATATATATATATATATATAGACACAGATCTATTGTGCCACATAGTCATATTGATTTATTAGAAATTTATTTAATGTTTATCAAAGATCTTTTAGAACTTTAGGAAATTAATTATTGAAATATTTTTGAATATATAATATTGAATTTTTACAACAGATTTGTATTCTTGATAATGTTTATGAAATTGAATTATTTATTAAACATACAAATAACCTATAAAATTGATTTAGTTTTTTACAAAGAAATTATGGTATATACTAAAATATAATATTGGTAAAAAAAAATAATTATTATAGCTATACTATTTTTTTTTTTGTATATATATATATATATATATATATATATATATATATATATATATATATATTATATATATATATATATATATAACTATTAAAAACAACTTAAATAAAGTAACTTTATTAGTAAAAATTTATATTTAATAAACTTTCACGTGTCTACTTTAATACTTATGTGTTTAAAATTGACAAAAAAAAAAAGATTGAAAAAAGTCTACGTAAAAATTTTCTGCTGTGGAACACGCCATTTACATACATACATACATATATATATTAGTGATGTGGCTTTTTGGTAACTCCAGTTTCCAATATAAAAAACAGATGAACTTTGGTTTGAAAGTAACTGAAAAGTCATTGGTTTTATTTAATTTTTGAAAAAGGTCACCCACCATGACCCTTGATTACACGCTGGTTATCATATATCATATATTTTTTTTGAAAAGTATCAAAAGTATATCAACCTGGGTCTCAAAAGAACCAGAATTTCATAGAGGTTTCAGAAATAATAATTGTTTCAAATAAAAGTGAGTTGTTTAAACTTTATATACAAAAAATAACAATTTTTAACTAAAAATTAAAAAGGTTGTTTTTTATGACATTTTGTTTGCAATATTTTTTATAAATTTTTTAGTAGAAAAGATTTTGAATTTTGAAATCACTATAAAATTTCTATCAAATCTCTATAAAATTCTGTGTAATTAATGGTCATGGTGGGTGACTCCAACAAAACTCAATTATTTACTTCAAACAATAATTACAATATTTTTGATGTTCATATATTGATAAATGGAAATCCTCTCACTGAGTCCTTTATTTTATGTCTATGATTATCATTCACAACTTATCTTTAGAAACCAAATATACAATCAATTGCAAAGTTGGCTTCTGCTAAGGTTGCCTCTCTTTATTGAGCTCAACATTTTTTTACTCCTCATTCCATTCTCTACATTTATGAATCTCTTATTTATTCCTCTATGGAATACTGTTATCATATTTGGAGTTGTTCTTCCCTTAGTCTTCTAGACAAGGTTTAAAAAAATACTACACGCCAATTTTAGAACTTGCACACCAATGCTTTGGAACTCTCTCCCTTTAAAATGTTTTCCAGATTTATGCAACCTACAACTTTTCCAGTATTCTGTCAACCATTTCTTTGTTTTTTAACACAATTCTTTGTTTTTTAGTAACTCTCAACAAAGTAGTGGTTGCTTGGCAACAGGCATATTGGGAGCGAATTAGTTTAAAAATAATAATATTAAAAAATTAACTAATTAAAGTTAACTAATAGAGTATATTGTATCAAAAATCATAAATATTAAAAATAATTTACTTTTTCATTTAAATTTTTTTCATATTGCAAGCATTGTCAATTTTTTTATTTATATTATTACTTAAATATATTAATTTTATAAATACTACTCTTAAGTATTTAATACACAGGAGGGGATATTTATTGATTTTTAGAAAACAAAAATCCCTCCCCCCTTCCCTCTTTTATTACCACCCCCCTTGTATAAGTACTTGAGAGTATTTATGATGCAACATTTTTATATTAGGTACATTTGGACAGTTAGAAGATTGGAACATAAACAGTTTAAAAAACTATCCTCTTATTGAATTGCCGCTTACTGATAGTGCTTCAACTAAGTCTGAAAAAGTTGTTTTATCAAGTCAAAGTTTTCAAATACTTAATGACCAAAGCAAAGAAATGGTTATTTTTATATAAATATAAACATATATATATATATATATATATATATATATATATATATATATATATATATATATATATACACATATATATATATATATATATATATATATATATATACACATATATATATATATATATATATATATATATATATATATATATATATATATATATATATATATATATATATATATATATATATATAAAGTGCTTGAAGTGAGGCGGGATGCCATCCCATCACCTTTTTATAAAGTATAAACCATCCTGCCACCTTTTTGTAAATCTCTATATACAACAATGGTTAGGGGGTATGTTGTTTTTAATTTACCAAATACCATCTCGTTACTTTTTTTTTTTCCACTTTGAGCACTTTATATATTTATATATATATATATGCAGTGCATATATATATATATGTATATATATACATACATACATATATATATATATATATATATATATATATATATATATATATATATATATATATATATATATATATATATATATATATATATATATATATATATATATATAAATTGTTGTTGTTAAATTTGTTGTATATACCATAAAATTGCCTAAGTTGAGTCACTTTAACTTTGAACATTCATATCTCTGGCATAAATAAACAATATTTTACCTAAAAAATTATATTGATAATTTATATTGTATAAATAAAATAACAAAAAATAAAAACTAGCATTCCATATTTTGTTTTAAATGAGAATATCTTGTTTGACTTGACTTTCAAAACCTACTCATAAGTTCGGTCAAACATTTATTTTAATGTCTATGAAAATTATTTTAAAAAAAAAATTGCTACATTTTATTATCAAAAACATTATTAATAACAACATTTTTTTCCAACAATTATCATTTATAAAAAACAATTATCATTTATAAAAATTAATTTTATTTATTTGTTTTTTTCATTAGGAGTTGCACATAATCATCCTTGTATAAAATTAATAATTATCCATGCATTAAAATATGAGGGACTGAATTAATAGTATTTTAAAAAATTCACTTATTTTCAAACAAAAACTAGTACTAAATAACTAAACTAGTAACTAAATAAATTTTTTGTTTTAAAATACAATTTTTTGATAATACAATTTGATTATTAAAATTACTAATCTTTTTATATTTTATTGTTTCATTCAATACTTTGTTTATTTTGGATTTCAACATTTTGTATGATTTCATAACTGTTATTTTGCAAAAGGTTTCTTTCAAAGTTGCTACAAATAATATTTGAACAACAAAAAAAAACTTTAATTTAAATTACAAATGCTTTTGCTAGTGACTGAAGTTATATGATGATCAAACTTATATGATGACCAAATTTATATGATGATCAAACTTATATGGTGGCCAAACTTTTATTATGATCAAACTTAGGCGATATTATGTTATTCTGTTATTTAACTTTGATACAATAGCAATCATAAATTAAATAAAATACTTTATTAAACATATCAAGAGGTGCAGATGCAGTTATCTTAGTATACTAAATAGTTGTAAATCAAATTATTATAGCAAAAATTAATTATGTAAGATAATTAAAGTTAATTATTGTTTAGAAGAATTCATTTTCAGCTATTTAATATATCTAAGACATGCTAAGACAACATACTAACTGTATCTGTATCTCCTGGATGTGCAAATTTGATATGTTTATGTTTGAACCTTGTACACTTCTATTTTTTTGTATGAAATCAATTTTTTACTTATATAATTTAGTCAAATTTAGTTTAAAAATACTTGAAAAATCTTCAATTCAATAAGGCTGTAAGTCAGGATAATTTATCATCTAAATAATCAAAAAACATTTCCAGTGTTGTTGCAATGACATTCTTGCTAATTCAATGTCATTGAATATCAAAAGATTGCTTTTAATAAGAATTGTTTGATCCAACCTAAAATTGAATTAAACATCCTAAAATTGTATTACCTAATAAATAAATTGTATCTTATAGTTCTAAAATAGATAAAAGTTCTATTTCTTAATTGATGAACTTTTAATTAATGAACTACTTTACCAATTACTTTCTTAATTTTGTTTTTAAGAAAAGCCATTCAACAAACAGTTTGTTATAAAACTTCTTATAAGTTATAAAACTTCTAAATGTTTTAAAGCAATTTTACATCTCCTGAATTTTTAATCAGGAAAGACTTTAGTTTAGTCAAAGATTTGATTACCCCTAGATTCTTACCTTCTTTGTTTATGGTCATGCAACTTCTTTTTATCTTCTAATTAGAGTTCATCACTATATCTCAGTTTAATAGTTTTGAGGCCAGTTGGTAGTAAGATTTCCTGAACTCTATTGTTAGCAAAACTAATTAACAACTGTAAATTATCAAATAATAAACCAGTACTAGGTTTTATATAAGTGTCCATGTTAATGCTCTCGATTTCCATGGAGATATTATTATAATTCTTTTGGAGACATATTAGAAGACTTTTGTTACAACCTGATTGATTGTTACAACCTGATTGATTAATACAATAATTAATAATAGAATGAGGTAGCTGTGGAGCTTTTTGCTTAAGGTGCCATATATGATATTACCTAAGGTACCAGATATTACTTATTGTTACTGTTGAATATGTTTAAATCAAGATCTTTAAAATAATTTCATATTTATCCTTAAAACATCATTAACTTGTTCCAGTCTACCTTTGTTCCAGTCTACTTTTGTTCCAGTCTACCTTTGTTCCAGGTACTTTTTACAAAGTTACTTTAAAGACAGCTGATCTTCAGATCTTGATGTTGATAACTATTATCTGTTGATTTGTAATAGTTTTAATAGTCACATGTTTAGCCCGAGCATGTACTTGTTAAATAACTTATTTGTTGTGAAGTTTGAATAAAATTTTTTTTTTTTACTAGTTTTCGATATGCTTTTGTTAATCCTTTTTTTACTTTATTTTCTCTTTGTTCTTTATTACTCTCTTTTTCAAGACTTCACTTTTTTTGATCCATCTGTCAATCCATTTTTTTGATCCATCTGTCAATCCATTTTTTTGATCCATCTGTCAATCCATTTTTTTGATCCATCTGTCAATCCATTTTTTTGATCCATCTGTCAATCCATTTTTTTGATCCATCTGTCAATCCATTTTTTTAAAAAAAAATTTGCTTACAACAAGGCTGCAAACAAGCATTAATTACTGTTGAGAGTTTTAAGAAATTAAATAAGACAGCTAATGAAACAATTGACAGATGGATTAAAAAACTGTAAAGTGTATTACGAAAATATAACAGTGGGAAAATTTTAAAGCAATAATATTTTGAGAAAAAAAACTTGTGAATATAAAAGTGTTTTGAGCATGAATTAAAGGTAAAGGATGTGTTTGGTTTGCTGAATGATGAGTCAGTTGATATTAGTTTTAGTTGGTTAAACAAGAGATTATAGCTTGCTTGACCAGCAACCATGGTTGAATTTGCAGAAAAGAAAAAGTGCTTTAGTGCTTGCTTATCAACCCTAAGTTGTAACAAATGCTTATGTAGCCCTGACAATGTGCACTAAATGCACTAACAGCGATAATATCTTTACTCAGCATAGTGCTGTTAATACTTACAGTGTTAATAATGATTTAAATACTTTGATATTTTACAACTGTTGATGGAATTAGCCTTTCTGAGAACTATCACAAAGTTTGTGAAAATTCACTTACCAGACTCGCAACACTTATATTTGATTTTAGAACTGTACTCTCTAGTGCATAGCCAATGCTAAAGAGACATAAGAAAAAACACATGATTCAAGAAGATCTATCATTTATTATCCTAATCTTGAAACATTTTAAGACTGGTTTACATTTATGCTGGCCTATAAAATGAAAAAGAGGTGCAAAATTGGTCATCAGAAATTTTCTGCTAACCCGTAATGTCTTTTCCAAGGAGGTCTTTTTCAAAATAGTAGTCAGACACAGTTTACATCTGTTCATATTGAGTATTATTGAGGCACTATCTTTAGCCTATACCAGGGTTGTCCAACTTTTTTACAGCCTGGGCCATTATTTTATTTTGATGACAACACGAGGGCCACAAATTAAGAAAAATCATTTTGTTTAAACTTCTAATTTAAAACAACTAATTCCATTTCAATATTGTCAAAAAAAATGTATTTAATGGGAAACTTGGCATTGTTTATTTTTACACAATTGATCAATGTCAGCTTTTATAGTGGACGATGAAATCCGAAGTGTATCAGTGAGGTGTTCATCTTTCAACCTATGTCTCTGCTCTGATTTAACATGTTTCATTCTTGAAAAAAATTGTTCACAGATGTATGTGCTTCCAAAAAGGGAAAAGTATTTCATAGCGTGTTTGCACAAATGTGGATAAACTTCAATGTTCATGTATTTTTTATAAAGTTCTAACAATTCAACATCTTTGTAAGCATCTTTCAAATCTTTATTGTTTTGTAGTTCTATTAATTCCATTTGAAATTCATCTCTTACTGTCTCAACTTTAATGGAAAATGGATGTGAAAATAAGTCTAACTCATTCTTTTCTTCTTTAAAATCACAAAATCTTGTGTCAAATTCATCAATTACTTTTAAAATAAGATTACAATATTTTTCATAGTCAACTGTGTTGGTATTTCTTTCTGACAATGTTTTAAAATGGATAAGTGATTTTTGACTTAATTGTTGTTTGAGAAGTTTCAATTTCAAAACAAATGTTTCTACATTTTCATATAATTTACTAATAAGTTGATCTTTACCCTGCAACTTGATATTTAATTCCATTAACATCTGTGTAATGTCAACTAAAAATGCCAAATCATTCAGCCAGTCATTATTTTCAAGAAAGCTTGTGTCTTTATCTTTAATTTTTAGAAACTTTATTATTTCAGGTATTAATATCCAAAATCTTTTCAAAGTTGCAGCTTGACTAAGCCATCTAACTTGGCAGAAATAAATTACATCTTCTGCCTCACTTCCACAATCCTCAAGCAATTGTTTGAACTGTCTGTGATTAAGGCCACGACTTCTTATAAAATTAACAGTTTGGATAACAATTTCCATGACTTCTTTCATTTCTAATACTTTTGCACATAACTGTTCCTGATGTATAATACAGTGATATGAAAGAATGTTGTGATTAATGGATTTCTTAAATAATGCCACAAATCCAATATTTTTTCCTTTCATTGAACTTGCTCCATCTGTAGTGACACCAGAGAGTTTTGTTTCTGGCAAATCAAACTTTATCATTGTTTTTTTGACTTCAGAAAGAATATCTTCCCCTTTAGTAGTGCCTTTCATGTGCCTGAAATCCAACAGTTCTTCAATTATTTCAAAATTACTTGTTATAAATCTAATAAAAATAGCTAACTGAGCCGTATCACTTCTATCTGTTGATTCATCAAGTGCCAGACTATATGCTTCACACTTACATAGTTTTTCTTTCAATGCTAATTCAATATTCTTTGATAGATCTTCAACCCTTCTTGCAATTGTCTGGTGTGAAAGACTGAGATCTTCAGCAAATTGTATTTTTTCAGGGCATACCTCATTACAAAATTGTTTTATAGAGTTTTTTATTAAATCTCCAGTAGAAAAAGGTTGACCACTTTTTGCAATATTTTCTGCAATTAAAAAACTTATTTTGGTAGCACTGTATGAGCTAATTACTTTACTTTTCATTATTGATTGTTGCCCGATAAAATTTTTCTTTAGCAGTTCTACCTTATTAACACGAAATTGGCCCTTGAATTTATCATAAGTTGCTGCATGTTTTGTAGTATAGTGTCTATTAACATTATACATTTTGCACACGGCAATTTTTTCAAAACAAATGAGACACATAATTGAATTATTTTGCTCCATTACAAAATATTCATTTGTCCAAGATGGGTTAAATATACGACCTCCTCTTCCACTTTCAGTTTCAGCTCTACGTCTTTTATTAGCACTAGCAGAAGCCATATTTAAAAAAAAATCAATATAACTATGGTTCCGCTAACCAAATAGTCAATACCGTTTTAACCGGTTTTATAAAAAAAATAAGGCGGTAGTTTTAACCGTGTTGCAATTTTAAAAAAAATCTGATTTTTAAAATTATATTAAAAAACTGCCCTAATTCTGAGCTACAGAAAAAATAGTTTTAAAAATATAATATTCACCTGATTTTGTTAAAAGTTTTGAATGGTTTTTGATAAGTTAAGAATTGAAAACGCGGGCCATGGCAAAAGACAACGAGGGCCACTTTGTGGCCCGCGGGCCACGCGTTGGACAACCCTGGCCTATACTTAACTTAAATTAAAAGAGCCTAAAGACAAGGGAGTATTTTAATTCTGAGTTAACTTCTTCTAGCTTTTGCCTAAAAAAAATAATTATACAAGGCAACATTACAGATTATACTAAATAACATTTAACAGTGTTAGGGTAGTTATGATGGTTCTGATCCTGACCTGAAACATTAGGAAAGATATAAGGACCACATGATGGATCACATCCTATATTACAAGTAAAAAACTATATTACAAGTTAGGAACTATATGCAATTAAAAACTGTGTAAAATATCTGGAACTATATGAAACATCCATAATCTCATAAAAAGTCAACTATACAAAACATTAGAAACATGACAAAATTTCAGGAAGTATATAAAGTATCAAAAACTATATGAAACACCAGGAACTATAAAAAGTCAGGATTGTTATTATATTTACTATTAAATATTTACAATTGTTGTTTATTTGTTATTATGGAAAGTTTAGTATCAAGTTTATTTACTAAATCATTTAAAAGATTTCATTTTAATGAAAAAATACTTATGTATGTAAAATGTACTGCGGTTCTTTAATAAAAGAATTTTACATTTTAATTAAATAATACATAAGTTCTTTTAATAATATATAGTAATACATAAATGCAAAAAATGCTTAAAATAATATATATTAATAAATAAATGCAAAAAAAAAATACTATTATACAAAATGGATATATATGTAATATTTGTTTTGTAATATTTTTAGCTATTATCAAGTTAAAAATAATAACTAAAGATAGTTCATAGTTAAAAGTAAAAATAAGTGAAACAAAAATCAAATAAAAATGTGTTATGCATTAAATGCAGAGATAGTGTCACTTATGGACATGGGGTCCTTTGAATCATTTAGGTTCTAAGTAAGGAAAATCTCATGATTACCATTATATAGCATGTTGTCAAACATAAACTAGATGCTTTTTTGATAAGCGCATAATCACATATATAAACATATATATATATATATATATATATATATATATATATATATATATATATATATATATATATATATATATATATATATATATATATATATATATATATATATATATATGTGTGTGTATATATATATATATATATATATATATATATATATATATATATATATATATATATATATATATATATATATATATATATAAATACACACATGCACATATATATATACACACACACAAACACATATATATATACACACACATATATATTTATATATAAACATATGTGTATATATATATATATATATATATATATATATATATATATATATATATATATATATATATATATGTATGTATGTATACATATATATATCCATTATATTTATATTTTGTTTTAGATTAAAGGTTGTCAAAATCATGTTGTGTAAGTTTAACTTTTTGTTGTTTTTAATCATTTTCGTCATCAGTTTTGGTTTTACATAGATTTTTATAAACATTTTTGAATCCCACTTATTTTTAAATATTCATTTTGGTATACCTATGATTTATAACAAAAGGTAGATCTTGCTCGAAGTGTTCAAAAAAGCATCTATCGTTCAGTATAGTACATATGGATATAAAATAAAAAACAGATATGAAAAAAAATCAATTTTTTTTTAAGGCTCTTTATCAATACTCGTTTAACTTTCAGAAAGAAATGGTACATGACTTTTTTTTACTCTACTAAAGGTTTTATAACTCTTTCTTGATGTAGTTCTTTTACTAATAGCTTTAAACTGACCACCTAACATTTAATTGCCATCTTTCTGTTATCTAGCTGGTTTGTATAAAGTTTTTGATCTAATGTGATGGGAGGCTCAGTCTTTTAGTTTTGAAGCTGTGTTCAAGAAATATAATGTTTTCTTCAGATTGAACCAATCCACAGTGGGCCAAGATCGACATGAAATGGACAAAAAATCATAACTCCTTTATTTTTAATGTTGTCAAATTGAAATTTTTATCAGTGACTCTTGTCAACATGAAGATCTTTTTATTTAAAAAAAATTTTTTTTTGCAGATGCAGGCACCCTAAGCACCCCAATAGAAAAGGGTGTAGAGGGTGTTAGAGATTTTAGACATAACTTTTGGTTGTTTTTAGAAACAGTTTTTCTTAGATTCGAAGCATTAATTAATTAAAATATTTGTGACATGTTAGACCCCCTTTAATAAACAAAGAAACATTTATTTATTATTTATTATTAACATTTATTTCATAAATATTTTATCAGTAATCAGAGTAAAAATATTCAAAACTTTAAATTAAAAAAAAAGTTACAACAAAAGTTTAATACAATCTTTGTTAAGTTCAAGTTTTTTAATACATCTCGAACTCCTTCTTAGAGAGCTAATAATTTGATCTGAACTGTACAATAATCTTCGCATAACATCTTGATTTGTGATTTTTCTTGAATATTTTCTCGTAATGTGTACTCTATAATTTTTAACGTCTTTATTTTGACATTCCTTAGCTTCCTCAGAAAGAAGACCTACTGGTATTGGTTTATCTCGTACAACTTGAGAACTATGAATTAGAATTTTATGTACAATTTGAGACATTGGAAACCATGGGTACAAAGAAACATAGAGCTCTGCTATTTCTTTGGTTTAATTTTCAAGTTCATCTGCATTGATTTGATGTTTGCACAATAAAACATAAAGAATTAAATGTTTCATGAGATTTTTATCTATATCAAGTAATTCAGCAGACAACTTATAGTTTCAGAATACTTGTGCCGTGTTTCCATAATTTTTGTACTGAACCGCTGCTTTTTGGTACATCTACATTTAAACCTAAGTAATCTTTCATCTTTTGTTGAACAATAATCTTTTTTTTTCTAACAATTTCTTTATCATCCTTTCCTTTAATTTGTCATTTTCCTGATTTAATTCTATAACTTATATGAAGGCAGCATTCAAAGCACCTAATCCATGCATGGAATGTGCTCAATCCAATGCTCAGTGGAAACTGTATTATAGATTTTTGAAAAAGTAACATTTAGATTGTTCATATTTGAAGGGGTCGGTCCACAAATACTACATACTTGAAAGGAATTACTTAATGGCAAAACTAAAGTAGCTACTTTTCCATCAACCATTGTGCATTCTAACTTATGTTTGATAACAAAGGAATTAAAGGTCGTTAGTTTCAAGTTGCCGTTCTTAAAGGAAATATATTCTTATGTAATAACCTCAGCACTTTTTTTTACATATTTAAATTGTACTGTATGGCAGTAAAGTGTAGAGGATGGTTTTTTATTAGTCCATAGTGATTCGCCAGATTTTTCAATATAAAGTTGGATACAATTTGTTTCCTTTAGAAACTGCTCCAATGTGAATTGATTGGTAAGTCGGCAGTCAGAAATCAGCACTAATGCTTCCTCTCCAGTATACATAGTTGTTGAATTAACTGCACCATCTTTCTCTGATTTTAATATTTGCTTCACAACCTTAAGTGTAAAAATGTAAATTTGAAGAGTGAGGTCCACTAAGAAAAGTTATCCCTCTTAGTATTTTTTTATTTTTTATTAAATAAGATAAATTAAAAATGACTATAATATTAAGGTTAATGTACCTTGGCATCGCTGAACCTCTTTTAGTTTCAAAATAAGTGAGTAAAGTAATTCCTCTCTTTCGAAAACAATATTTGTTTTTTCTGCTCTCCTCTTTTTTGTTTTTTCAGAAGCTTGGTATGCTGGGTAATGTATATTCTGGGTGAATTGTATAAAATTTGCACCAGGTGGTCTTCCGTAGATAACTAATTTATATTAAAATATCAGATGGTTGTATTTACTATAAACATATGCTAAAACACAATTAAACAGTGAAAAACAACATAAGTCCATTACTTTAATTTTTATAAAATGTCATTAACTGTTTATGAAATAATTTGTAGTTTATGTCAGAGATCACTGTAACTTTATAAGCATCAGGGTCAGTAACTGATTTGATTAAGTTCTTTTCCAAAACATGAAACAATTTTTGAGTAATTTCTTAATTTTTCATAGTGATTAGTAGAAGGAAATTTCAAGTTAAAAATAGTATTATAGTTTTTGAAAGTTTTTTAAATAGGATTTGTATTTTATATAATTAAAAGCATTATTGATAATTAGCTGAAATAAGTTTAATTTTATAAATCAAAAAAAAAAACCTTACTTAATAAAGTGGAATAGCATTATATTTTAATATTTTTGTAGTTTCCGTAATTGCAATTAATTATTTAGAGTTCATACTTAACAACAATGTGCTTTGAGCAATTAAAAATTACAAACGAGTTGTATGTTTAAAACCTGCTAAACTTTAATTGGTGCAACTTTGCTCAAGATATTTTTTATGAGAAACCTTCTACAATATTAAGACACTGTAAAAAGGTTAATCTCATAGTGGGGAAACATGAGCGAAAAAAGATCTTAAACCATTTATAGTGACTTTTTATTATGTTTTGTAATACTTTTAACTGTCATATTTAAAGTTAAAAAAAAGTCCTAAAATACAAGATTATTTTTACTTATTAAATTTTCTAAAATAAAGCATGTACCCTGATATTGAGATTATAAAGTTTTAATTATATTTTAAAAAATTGTGCTTATGAGATGAAATTTAATTTTATGAGTAATTTTTTTTTATTTTAAAAAAAAAAAATATTTAAATGGACGAGCTTGAAAACTTTCCCTGGACTCCTAAAACATAAATTAAAATATTTAAACAACAGACTTTTTTATTGCGGTGTATTTACTTTTAAGATATTGCAAAAAAAAAAGTTTCCACAAATACTAATTTTCGGCATTTATGTCAATCTCTGGCCCACTGCGCAATCTTTTAAATTTAATTTGTATGTTACTAGAAAAAGTAACTACTTACTTTATGCTATATTAGCTTTGTAATAACTGTTTGACTAAAAAATATTTATTAAACTTTTAAATGAAAGACAAAAAAATAGAAAAACTAGAGAAAAGCAAAACATCTAACCTGGATACTAGTAGATGGGTTACTGCTGTATCTAGTAAAAAAAAGAAGCAATTAGCTGTTGAAAAACTGTTGTTTGCTCAACAGACTGAAATCAAGAGCAGAGAGAACAATGTAACATTTGTGGAAGAATCAAAGAAGAAAACTGTGGTTCAAAAATCGAAGATGACAAGCTGAAGGTTGCAAACATTTATTACGTTGCAAAGCACCATGATTAAAAATGTAAGACAATTTAAGTCAAAGAACCCGAACAGACCTGGACCTATTCTCATAGGTCACAAAAATAAATTTCTGATAGCTTTGAAAGCTCTTAAAAAGAAATTATTTCTTAAAAATATCTATTCAATTACTGATTTAACAGAAGCCAAGAGACTGTTAGGCTTAGATCTCAGGAAGAAAAGAAACAAGCTCAATAATACCCTGAACCCTAAATCACCCTTTCGATATGCCATCCATGGAAATCAAGTTGTCAGGTTACATAAACAACAAAAATTAGATCAGCAAAAAATTATTAAGAAAAATCTGATCTGTCTTTATCTTAATGTTACATCACTTGATAAAAAAAATAAACGAGTTTAAAGTATTGTGTGATAAAAATAATCCTATATTGATTGGAATAACGGAAACTTGGTTTCAGATACGTCTTTTTTAAATATGGTTAGTTTTTGCGTATATAGGAGAGACAGAAATGATGGAAGAAAAAGAGGAGGAGTTGCTCTTTTATAACTACTGCTTCTTTTCCACAACAAATATTTTGAATACGAAGCTTTATTGTTTGCACATTGCAAAACTCATTATCTCCATTATATGACTTTATATCAGATAAAATAAGAGGAGTTTCTTCATTAACTAAAAATCTAAGCTATTGCAAAACAGTTTTATGCTGCAATGTAGTGTAAGACAACGTAGGAAAAAATATTTTCTTTTTTTTTATTAAGTGTATTAAGAGATATTAAGTGAAATCTTGTTTCCTGTCATTAAATCAGTCAACAATGGTGGATATAGAGAAAGAGGAGCTAATATAACTTTTCCCGAATGGCAGCACAAAAAATGAGTTTCATTTAAAAATTTCTTCCCACTACAATACTGACAATTATGGTTAAAATCTCCAAGGTAATTACTTTCTGTAGCAGTTTTTCTGGTCTAGTGATTCTTAAAAACTTGAACTAGAGAACTATTTTAGGTGATTTTGAAGAGTAAAATATTATATAAAAAAAAATTCTATTTTAGATGGACAATTTAAAAGGCAATTTTAAGCTGACCGAAACAAAAATCTAAAAAAGTCTTCTTAACAAATAAATTATAATTTTTACTAAAAGTTAATAAAAATTATCAACAGCACAAACTTTTAAATCTTTAACTAATGACAATCGTGATTATTTTTTAAATTATAAAATAAACGAGGCAATCTTATAATATGAA